ATTTCCATACACATGCACATACTGGTATATAGTATATGCATTTGTGCAACTTGTGAGCGCCGTTTGCTGCGCGTTGTGGCAATTTTCCGCTGGTAATTCGCCCAAACGCATTAATTGCCTTTCGGAAAGCTGCTTGAAAAACATTAAATGGTCCGCCTCAACGCGGTGGCAGTTGAAGGGAAGTACTCGCAGTTGTTGTTTTTGTTGTTGCATGATGAGCCACTTATGGCGACCACAATATTTCCACTATAAAAGCGCGCATAAAGCCGCCAAGCAAATTGTGGCAGTCAAGTAAGTGAAGTTGCACGAACAGGCGCGCGCTTGTGGCTTGCGTCATAAAAAAGTTGCAAGAAAATTTTGTGCAAAAAAAAACTCACTCAAAGGTACACATATTTATATATTTTTTAATAAAAAAGTTCTTTGCGTTTTTTTGTTTTATTTTTTTTTTTATTTCCTTGCTGTTTAATTTGTGGCATTGCGGAATTTATTTATGCAACGGCATAATTTATGAAATTTATAAAAGTGCAAAAGCAAACGCGAAAACAAAAACAAAAGCGGTGGCRGCGCATAAGAATGCAGTGAAAATGGGCATGCCAAATATGCAAAGGACAGCGCCTACTGAGCGGGCGCCGCCTCGCTGGCGGTGTGTGCTGACACGTACGCCGGAATGTTTTAATAACAAAATAAAAATGGCATTGTTAATTTTAATATGGACAACAATATGGTGCAGGCGTGAGTGTGCTGCCGCGGCACGCCATAGCAATCAAGCTGTGTATAATAACTACAACAACAAGAGTAATTTGCACGAGCAGYTGGAGATTAATGTTGTAGACGACAATGAGGATGTTGAAGCGATTGTCAGCAGCTGGGATGAGGTCTGGGATGGTATTGTGGCTGCTGGACGTCRTTCCGAGCAAGGTGAGCAATCGAATGCAATTAATGCAAAGTTAAAAGAGGCGATAGTAGATATTGTCTAACGCTGAAGTGCTATGGAATAGCTTTCATGTCTGTAGCATAACTTTTTCCTTGATTTTATCAGGTATAGCTGTTGACAGCTATTTAGAAACGTTTTGGAGGTCGCTGATGAGTGTAATGATAAAAAAATTTTGATATACCGTTATTTATGTTCCTAAAAGTCTTTCGTTGTTCGTGATACTCTATTTACTCCTAAATTCACTCTGTTTTGTAGTTGTGAAGTTAAAGTAATTTTAATTTTTTCCGAAATAGTAAATGCGATACGCTATAGAAGATGAATTAAGTGCGACAGCTTATTAGAAAGAGTTGTTTAAATAATTAAAATTCCTCAAGGTGTTAATTTGTATTATTAATATTACTGATTTATAGTAAGTGTGTGTTTCAAAGTTGTGGTTAAAAATATATTAAAATGTATTCTTAAAGTTTTTTAATGAGGAAACGCTGCAGCTGCACACCTACCCTTCGCAGCTACATTTATGACCTTTGTCGGTTTGGAAAGATGTGAAATTTTGAATAAGATCAAATGCTCAAACAATTTTTTTTGAATGTCCTTAAGCATATACAGAATTTTAATATTGCACGCAATGAAAAACCGAAAAACCTTCAACAGAAATATACCGCAGAATTAACACTGTCTCTCGAAGAGACTCAAAAATAGAGTTCCACTGACATTATACTTGAAATTCAAGACGAATATAATCTCCACATATCCAAGAGAACAATTGCCCGATGTTTGGTGGAATCTGGACTTCGCGGCAGGAGAGCACGCCCGCCTTGCTATGTTCCATCTGTTTTTTGGTGCGCTGTCAGAGTCTTATAACGTCAATCCGCTGTGGATGTGAAGCAATGTTAAAGTAAAATAGATAACCAACAAAATAGTGACTGAAAGTAAGCAAGTGTTTGTAATATCATAATTTTTTTTTGATAAAATATTTTCTTTTCTAATGAGTTGTCGTACCCAAATCGTGGATTCCACATGTTTTTGTTAAAATCCTCAAAACAAAACGAATTTTAAACAGAATTTTTACTATTACAGTTTAAGTTTAACTTAGGATTCAATAAAATAAGTGAAAATACAATAAATGTAAGTGATTTATTTTAAAATAACATCATTTACTTCAAAATAGGCGTCATTTCTAATTAGCTGACAACGGCTGTATTTCAAATAGATACTCTAAAAAGCAAATAATATGTCAAACTCTGTTTTTTTTAGCATCCCAGCTCTTTTAAGTGTACTATGTTGTTTGATCCCGAAAATAATTCGGGATCCCGAAATCATCTTCTCTAAATCCCGAAATGCGGAGATTCAATGGATGCCAATATTTAATGATTTGATGTATAATTACGCACTTTGGGGATCATTTAGGGTGTTTGTTTGTTTTCGAATATTCGTAATTCATACTTACAAATATAGATGCTCATTATGATTGCCTATATGAAGGGCGAAATTACAAAATTTTGTAATATTAGATTTCTCAAGCTATCCACATAGATGTCTTTACTATCTGTACTGATCGCAAAATATTTAAGTGTAAAATTTGTTTTCGAATTTTTGTATATTTTTACATTGTTTATATTTAAACAAAAATTGTTACAAACTTATCATAAAACAAATTTATTATTAAAGCTTAATCAAGTACTTCATTTGGCACACGTTTTCACAAAGTATTGTATGTATACACATTTAGGATCTTTTCGGGATTGCCTGCACTAATCCCGAAATATTTGRATTTTTTCAAAAGGTTCAAAGCGTAAATTCCGACTTTTCGACTAGACAAAATTTTTATTTAGTTTAAACCTTTCGGGATTTTCCTATATTTCGGGATCGCTTGCTCTAATAACGAAATACTAAAATTTTTTCYAAAAATTTCAGAGCGTACTTTCTGACTTTTCGTCTAGACAYATTTTTTTTGGTTTCAACCTTTCGGGATTTTTCCGATATTTCGGGATTGTCTGCAATAGTGTCSAAATATTTGAATTTTTTTCAAAGGTTTCAAAAGGTTCTTTCTGATTTTTCGTCAAGGCATATTTTTTKAGTTCCAAYCTTTCGGGATTGTCAGCTCCTGATYGTTCTAGGTTTTCGTCGCGATATACATACTTCAAACGTTATGAGATTTTGACTACTGTGTTATTGTATTCGGAAGAAACTTTTGTAGAAACTTAAATTTTTGTATCTTTAGAACAAACTTCTTATTTTTTGTGTGTTTATAGAATGTCGTTGAAGAAGTTAAAAACCGTTGGTTCTATGAATAGCAGAGTAATGATACAAAGTCTTCTTTCGCGAAATCTGATCTTGAAAAGTTGCCGTACTAAGTTTTATTTACCGTAATTTGCAACTTACCACATTTTCGACAGAAAGTTGTTATGAAGAAGAAACTTTTCGAAAGTAATTTTCTCAAATCTCTTTAATATTGWTTATCGCAATTATTTTTCAACTGAAATGATAAATATAACATTTGCCTTAATTCAGCAAAAAGTGTAATTTTATTTTTTAAAAATAATATTTTTGTTGTACAGTGTTATTCAAACGAGATGCAGCGAAAGCGGCCGAAGGTRAGTCAGCAGAGCTAAATGCTACARCAGGGTATGAGTTCACAACGTCGGACGCGGTAATGACAGGTGTGGCCGATACAAAACGCATGATGACCCAACAAACAATTGAAATGCATACTGAGGCAACAACAACAACGGTGTATGATAGCAACAGCGTGGCAACGACTATGAATAACAGCGTCGAAATTAATGAGTACGAAAATGTGAAAAATAATGGAAATGAAAATGCCAAGCGACCAAAGGTTGTTGACAGAAAAATTATAGCAGCCACAACAACAACATCGTCATTTGCAGCAGCACATGCAGAAAGTGCCACAGAAGGGGTAGCAGCAACCACACCACAAACTGGAGACCAGCAAAACTTTGCCGTAAACATAGACGAGGAGGAGGGGGATGCGTGCGAAACGCAGACGAACGCTTGCGAGCCACCGGTGGATGTGACAGCCGCGTTGCAGCAGCAGTTAATTTATGAATTTGCAATTAAATACAAGCACATACCGCGTGTCACGTACTTCACCTGCCGCTTTTTGAGCCCCGCGCCCGTCCACACTTTCGGCGAACAAATTACGTACTTAAATATGCAGACGCTGGCGATGTTGCAGCGCATGTACGGCGGCAGCAAGGCAGCGGGCGAAATGAGGTCAGATGGCGGCGCCAGCGCTGACAAGGTGGTAACAAGGCGCAAAAGTGCGCCAGCAAATGCACCGAGCGCAACAAAAGCAACAACAGCAATAACAGCGCGCACAGCAGCCTTATCTAAAGCTGTCGAAACAAATGCACGGACAGTGCGTGGCAACGGAAATACGCGCGGCAAACGTTCGACCACTGCGGCGCTGAATAACGGAAATGTGACGCAGAGCGGAAAAGGAAGCAACTGTGCCAATGGCCGCTTTACCAGTGAAGCCTCCGCCGCTRACGCCACCTTCCCCACCGCCRCACCACGGGACATTTTAATTAAAGTTGTACATATCGATCAATTAATCAATAAACGTCCAACCGCTGCCAATAACAAGAATAGCAAAAACAACAACCGACGCTACAATTGGAATGTGCAACGCACATTTRGCGGTGGATTTGCCGCTGGTGGCGGTTATGGTCGATCAGCAGCAGGTAATGCCGGCGCACGCAATGCGTATACGAATGCAAATTGGCTGGCACAARTGTTGCGCGACGATGGCAGCCGTCAGGTGGTGGCGCTGAATTTAGCATGCGGTGCAGCGAGTCGTCGGTTGCTCGAAATGGTAAGTCGCATGTGGAAAAATGGTAAAGTGTCATCTGGCCGAAACGTATGCGTGCTCGGTTGAATAGGGAATTTTTAAATGCGGTTGCGTATACGCAGTGTAGTGCCCAAAATCTCCGATTCTCWTGCTCCAAATGCGTGTAATGTTTGCAGTAAAGTTTTAATATTTGTGTATGTATTTAAGTTTCAGAAAACACTTTAAAGATTTAATTAGAATTATTATCAGATATTTTATAAAATTTTTAAGTTTGCAACGAAGTTTGTAACACCCAGARGTAAGCGTCGGAGACCCGATAAAGTATATAAATAAATGATCAGTATGTTGAGCTGAGTCGATTTAGCTATGTTCGTCTGTCTGTCTGACCGTCAGTATATATACGGACTAGTCGCTCAGTTTGAAAGATATTGTTTTGAACTTTTCCAAATGTCATTTTCTCTTCAAGAAGCTGCTCATTTCTCGGAACTGCCGATATCGGACTACTATAACATATAGCTGCCAAACAAACTGAATGATATTAATTAAGTTCTTGTATGGAAAACTTTCACATTTGACAATGTATCTTCATAAAAGTTGGCACAGATTATTTTCTCAGACAATAATGTAACCTCCGAAGAAATTGTTACGATAGGCTTCTTTGTATGGAAAACTTTTGCATTTCACAAGCTATATTCACGAAATTTTGTATAGATTATTTTCTAAGGCAACAATGTAATCTTCGAAAAATTTGCTCAGATCGGTTAACTATAGCAYATAGCTGCCATACAAACTGAACGATCGGAAAAAGTTCTTTTAGGGAAAACTTTTGCATTTCACAAGATATATTCACGAAATATTATATTATATAATATTAGCTTCGGTGCAGCCAAAGTCAATCTTTTTTCTTGTTTCAATTAGAATTTTCGTAATAAGAGTTATCAACTATTAACTTATTTATGAGAGATACCAATGGTTACGGATTTACATTTTTTGGCTTTGCTGTGTAACTTTTTATATAAAAAATTTGCACCACTTCATAGTTTCTTATTCTGTACCACAAACAAAACTTCGTTGATTTGCTACAAATAGCGACAATTAAGCACCCTAATGGATTTAATGTACATATCTTTCAAACCAATCAAGCCAAACTAAACAAATTCGCTCAAGGTAAATCGAATAAGAACGTCTGCCAACAGTGAGKTGATTGTATGTGTAGTACCTTAAGGAAATCTTGGGAGCATTTTGTTAGACCGTGGCATGTTAATTGCATGTTTTCTTTGGTAAAATATRTACAAATCGAGTCAATATTACCCCCAGCTTCCATATACCACTTATAATGATTTTCGTTATTCTAACAAGTTTTATGCGGAATATGTCGATCAGTGAGTATTATTTATCTATAAAACTGCTTCAAATTATGTTCTCGAGTTTACTTGAGCAATCTCAATATTAAGATAATCAGTACATTCCTTTCTCTAGATAAGTTTTCTCAAACATTACGTGATTTAACGTTGATTGAAATGTGAATTGCTTTACAAATTGGCCTGAATCTCATACCGCTAAAACAAGTTGTGCTTCAAAGTAAACAGGACAAGTGCTAGAATCTGCTATCTTTATCGATTGTCCACACATTTCATGATATTTCATTGGTTGGAAGTGAAGTTATTGCATTTTATGTGTCAGTATGTTTGTGTTGACGGTGCGAAAGTGATCTTCGAAAAAAGAGCCAATATTAAATTTTGTTTTAAAATTGGTAAAACTTTTACTGAAACTTTTCAAYTGATAAAACAAGTTTATTGCGATGACTGCCTATCCTGTAGCAGAGTGCACGAGTGGTTTCAACGTTTTCAAAGTGGTCGTGAGGACATAAATGACGATCAA